ATAAGCTGGCACCTTCAGTAGCAGAATTCAAGAAAAATAAATTAGAGAGTTTGTTAGCTTCTAAATTTGATTTTTGCAGAGATAATGGAGAATGAGGTGATAATTTGCTTAAAGCAGCAGAGCATTGCATTAGCTGTATTAATTGATCATTGTCAAAGTTATGATATTTACAAAAGGGAAAGTACTTGAAGATATAGCTATAGTTTTCTTGCAGCTCATTTCCTTTCCTGTTCAGTCCAGTTGCAATTTTTTTAAGCATTGTTTTCTTTGAACTTTGCTCTCCTCAATGAAATGTTGACATCTTGTCAAAACCACTTACCTTTCAAAATGATGTGTTATCAGTGAGGCTGGGAATTTTTGGGTAAACTGATGAAAGAGATAGTTTGGTTTCCTCAGACAAAGTCTTTGGCACCCTAGTCTGCCAGTCTTGAAGTGCACACTTCTTGTGATGGAAAAGTGGAAATGATCAGGCTCAAATATCTCTGGTGTTATGATGCAGGTTTATTTTGCTAATAATTAGTAACCACCAATGAGACACTGTTGTAATGCTGAGGATTTAGCATCAATCTTGTTGACAAGTTATTATAGCTATCTACATGAAAATATTTTTGTCTTCTACATGAATCTCTGGAAATAGATTGTCTTAATAGTTTTCTTTAAGGCTTGATTTGCATCTCCCTACAAGAGCATTAGTTTACTAAGTCACCCACTTAAATGAAAAGAAATATTCCAGATTTATTATGGCTTGTGAAGCTTAATTCTGCCCTCTCATGCATATATATAATTATTCCTTGAAGAGCTATTGTTGTGTGCCACAAGACTTTTACATCTAGTATGCAAATCATTTCAGCTTTCTTTCTTTCTTCAGATACTTGGGCCATTAGTCTAGGAACAATTGCATTTGGTTAATTCAATGTGTTATGTGCGGATTCAGAGCTTCTCAAAGAGCTTGGTCCCTCTTCCTTGTGCCAGAGAAGTGGAGGTAGATCACAGAAATATGTGTGTTTCTTATTTCTGACCCCTGAATGATGGAAGGGGCAGAATAAAGTGGCTCAGTGTCCCTCTGGAGAGCAATGTGGTAGGAAAAGTCCTGAGGAATTGAAGGTCTGGAAGTGGATATAACCACACCAGTCAAAAAGTAAAAGGAAGCCTTAAGCTTTTCTTCCTGGACAAAACTACTCCCAGACTGTCAAGAGCAAAATAAAGCCATAGCTTGGCATGCGTAGCACTCATTCCAAGTATTCCTTAGATATTTGTCAAGAGCAAAATAAAGCCATAGCTTGGCATGCGTAGCACTCATTCCAAGTATTCCTTAGATATTTGTATCACTAAAAAAGTATGAAGTAAAATTTTAACAAGATGTGTGTAGACATTTATTTATTGTTTTAAAGAATTACATAAACTTTGCAGACCATCATCCCACATCGTATCTCTATTATGAGACCTCTGCAATACCCAAATATCCACCAAAGATATTTCTCTTCTGAGTATTTAATTGAGCTCTGTATGGGGTGGGCATGACCAGAGATCACCTATTATCATACGGTGAGTGCACACAGCTCATCAACAGAGCTAATGGTCTCAGTCTGTCCCATGGTTCAAGCAGGCTTTATTTTCTAGTGAAAAGAGTGTTTGGTTTTAAAGTCTACTGGCATTCTAATGACAGGGTTTTGTACAAAATCTCCCTTTTAAATGCCGTGGTCTGTTGACCCTTGTTTTGATTTCAGTCTGAGGACAGACTTCTAGCTGTCAAAATGAGGAAAGGTAGAAAGGGTGGTTGAGAGAGTGACCATAAAACACTCTCTTTTTTTTGTATCTATAAAAGGTGGACTATATCCAAATTGCCTTGTGATAAGATTATGCTTCATTTGGTTTCTTTTCTCCTTCCCTGTGATGTGCTTATATAAGCCTTGAGGATATTAAAATATATTTTGACCCTTCATAATGCAAGAGAAAGATTAGACTCTTTCTCCAAGAGTGGTGGCTTGAAGCAATAAAAATAGTCTGTATATAAATAAACCTCCAAAAGAAATTTCTTTGATAGGCGACTCTTGACAATACCGAAAACCTTTGTATTCACCATCTGAAGCAGGGAAGGAATTTCTGTCTCACAGACGAGTGCATTCAAAAGAACCACAACAAAATAGGGCACTACTTTTTTTGATGTGAAGAAAGTTCTGCTTTTGGTTTACAGAATTATGTGATGCTGGCTTTCAGTAAAAGCTATGTAACAGATTGCATTGCAGTTTATTTTTCCAAGGATGCTCCTCAATAGTGAAAGAGAGAGAGCTCTTCTGTTCTTGACAGAAAGCAATCTTATATTGACCTAGTCCTGACCTAAAACAGATCATCTCACCCAGTCTAAAAACAACGTCATATTCATTTGCTCCTTTCAGAGAAAAGACAGAAAAAAACAAATAATTAAAACACAGAAAAAAAAAAAAACACCAAACCAACCAGCTCAGATTTAGAACTTCTAAACATTCAGAGTATAAATACAGCCAGAACTGGCAGCCCACCACACAGAGTATTAGCCTGGAGCTCTTCAGGAGAGAAGTAGCCTGCAATGTGTTTTCTTTAGTGGCGCATACCATATACATGTTTGCTGTGCTTAGTCAAAATATGTTCAGATATATTTACAGAGAAGGAGAATGAGAAAAGAAAACAAAAGAAAATATGAGAGAAACCAAATGATGACAGGATGTGGAACAATTTCAATGACCAGTGTTCAGTGATAAACCTCTAAAGAATTCAAATGCATTTTGATCATACAAATGAGCCAATGCATTAAACCATTAAATATTAAATGGATTTGTCTCTAATGATTAACCATGTTGTAATAACTCCCTTAAACCTACAAATTACCATTTTGGACAATATTACTGTAACTGAGTTAGGTATGTTTCAAACAGCTGATGTCTGCAACTTTCTTTCAGGTCTTAATGGCAAATGTGTGTGTGTAGAAAAGACATGTAACGTTTGAAAAGAGTAAGATATACTTCCACTTCTGGAGGAGATAGAAACATCTTCTTAAAAGACCATTGGCCCTCTTGGTGGTGTTTAGAAAAAGGAGTTGAGAGAGACTTCTCTCTTCACTGAAACTACTGCTAGAATGCAGCTGGGTAGAAAGCAATTTTGCCACTAGGATTTTGGCCAGCTTCTTCTCCTTGAATGGACCACTTCAAGATTGGGACAGTGTGACTCTTTAAAACATTTCTGACAGTAATGCTACTGAACAGTTTTCCCCAGAATTTTTAATAGAGTCAAATCCGTAAAAAAAAAAAAAAAAAAAAAAAAAAAAAAGAATGGAGAATCAAAGTGGAAGAAAGGAGAAAGAGCAGTAGAAATGCCTTGCTTCTGATTCTGACATGTTTTGCCTTCTTTTAAAAGGGAATTCTTCCTTGCTTTGTCTTCAAAATAAGAATATTTAAACACAATACAAAGCAACTCTGCTTCTTTACACAGGTTTTTCTGTCCTCCAGTTTTCCTTTCTCTTGTTCTAATTTCTCCATGCCCCTTCTTTAAATACCTTAATTAGAAGTGCTGCCACATTGCTGAACTAGTAATGTTAGTCTCAAAGGTGCCTGTGTGACTCTTGGAAAGTTTGATCAGGGCACAGAGGGCCAGATGAATTTCCTTTGAAGCAAATTTTTTTACCTTTAACTGCCATGGTCCTTCCAAAGAAAAGCTGCTCTTTCACCTATCATGCTCATCTACAGTGTTCAAAAGGCAGCCAGGGAACTTCCACTTGAAAAACTAAATTATAAAACTTAACTGTGATCTTCCTGTGCCCAGTTTTTTTTTTCAAAACTGGAAACTTCAGAAGACAGCACAGCAGGAAGTGGTTAGTCTGCTTGCTGTTCCCAAGGAGCCCTCCAAAGCTCAGCTGATCATTTGGCAGAAGTCAGCTGGGGCAGCAGTGGTCCAGGGAACCAGTCCTGTTTCTTTTTATGAATTTAACTAGACTTTTGTTTGTAAATGAATGCTAAAAATAGTACATTGTGAAGCAGCAGATTGTGGAAGTGTAAAGATGTACAAAAATAAATTTTAAACTCTCCAGTAGTACTTATATCTCTTATAAATAACATTTGTGGGCCGATGGTGGGTGGAAGTAGTTAGCATTGATACCTAAAACCTGAAAGAGACAAAAGCCTGGTACTCTACTGAGTTACCTCAGAATGGATGGGAGTGGGATATAGGATGCTTGCTTATAGGCATTAAATATTTTCTTCTTCCATGTGGTGTTCATAGGAAACTTATGAATTTTGTCATTGCAGTTGAACAACATATCTTGCAAACAAATCTTGTGACACAAACAGTAAGATTTTATTATAAATTGCATCATTATGTAGCAGGTGTGCACAGAGAAAAGTTGACAAGAATTAAAAATATTGTCAAACTCAGTTTTGTCCAACTTCAGTCTTAAAAAGGTGAACGTTATGAAATTAAAGAAGACAGCTGATATTAATTTTATAGATGATGTGTGGTATTATATATCTCACTGTCTGTGCAAAGAGTTTATTTCTATTCTAAGTCTGATATCTGATTAATTTAAATAGCTTTGAATTAGTGAAATGATGCTCTGACTATCAGGTCTTCTGTCAAGAGCTTTTAATGAGTATCAAGTCAGATGATTAAGGTAGAATGATTCTATAGCAGACATGAATGCTTCAGATGCCAAGTTAACAAAGTGAAAGCTATTCCAGGAAATAAGCAATGTCAGTTGAGAGTTCAAAGGAAAGCATGGTTTCAGAGGAGTAAGCAGCTTCATTAAACTCTATTAATGATCCTTGTAGATAAATTTTGCATTTAAATTAATGTCTTGTGTCTGGAGAAAACAGTATTACAGAGCTTCAACCGGAGATGCAAAGTGATTTACATGAGCTGAACATCTGTGATTCCCTGACTACTGACCTCTTGAATAAGCAGGTCACTTTTTTACCTCCCTCTCTCTGCTAAAAGGCAGCTGTTTGAATTATATTCATTCTTTATCCTTGCAGGGTCTTCATTCTGGTGCTTACTGGATATTGTTCCTATAAAGAATGAAAAAGGAGATGTGGTACTCTTTCTGGCCTCTTTCAAAGACATAACAGACACAAAAGCGAAGATTGCCGCAGAAGACAAAAAGGAAGGTTTGTGAGAATTGCAAAAACATTGATAAAACCAACATTTCTATGTTTTTAAGAATTGCACCTGCATGAGCATTCTCTCACATGTACACTATTCAATATAGAGACCTCCTAGTTTTTTCCCAAAGAAGAAATTAATGTATGACATGGAGTGATAAATAATCTGTGTGGGTTTTTTATTATTTACATACTGCTGGAGGTTCTGTAAACATGGAATTTAGGAGACAGAGTATTTTGTCCTAAAAATTAAAATTGTTTTTATGTACCATGATTTAATATATTTACTTTCTGGATTTACAGACGTATATTTTGGTATTTTGGAGAAACTAAAGCTTTTCAAAAGTTCCATCTATGAACCTGATTTCAGCATGGCTGAGAGTAAAGGAATGTGGTTTTTCATGTTTTCTAATAAGCAGAATTTAAAACAGCTCTAGAAATTATTTTTCCTATTGATAAGCATGTATATTCTTGCTTCATCTCATTTTCATTACACTTTAAGTTATAAGAGTTATTATGTCATCAGAATTATCCAATAGCATAAGAAATAATTTCTCACTTTTATTTTCTTCTGAAAAGAAACACTGCAAAGATTCTGTTCCATGAATTTGGAAAATTGTCTCATGGTAATGGCTCACAACTGCCATAAAATAATTTTGACTGTATAATGTAATTAAGATTTTATAAATTTTGCTTACACAAAACTAAGTCAGTGTAGGGGAATGAAGGCTATGCAGTGAGCATTGGGTTGTGCATCAAAGGCAGTGAACTTATTCCAGATTTGCATTTTGTAAAGGTATAGTGAACCAACAATTTAGTTTTGTAATTTTTCAGTCTCTAAGGAGCTTTGTTTATCTACAGATAAACAAAGAGTTTATCTGTAGACACCATGAGTGTCTACACATTCTTTAAAATGCCGTTGGTGTTGTATTTTCCAACCTGGTAGTACTCTGGAATCTATTTAAATTTTTCATCCTGTGATAGCCATTGATGCATTCATATCTCAAAAACGACATAGTTATGGGCCTTAGAACACATTTACTCCTCATTGAAGTAATAGGGGAACAATTAATATTCAACTTTTTCAGGTTTTAAGTTTTCATTTGTCAACAAAAGAGTTGTATTTCAGTTACAGAGGTGTGTGATTTAGTATTCTTTTATGAAATTTTAGTACTTTAAACCATAAAATATTGTTCTCTCTTGTGCTGATTAATACTTGTAAATTAACATTGATACTTATCATGTCTGCCTCTTGTGTACATTTGGACAAATAATTTCACCTTTGACTTAAGTTTTAAGCTCTGAATATTAGAAGGGTTTGGGGGAGAGGAATTTTGCTTCCTTCACTTTTTGCACGGAATATATTTGAAAATTTCAAAGCTGGAAGATTGAAAAATGGTTTTGAAGTAGTACACAAGTACATTTTACTGCTTTTCCTTACATTCAATTTCAACCAATTGCTACCTCTTGAAGTAAAAAAATAAAATTATGAAGAATATTTTATCTTGTTTTTCTTTAAGCCTCAGAAAACCTTACTCTCATAGAAGTTTTAGGAAAGTAATTTATTAAAACCTGATATGTGGAACCATGTAGGAGAGAGATTGTCAGAACATCTGTGCTCTAAAGGCTAATGATTTACTTACAAGTGATACAAATTTTTAGGATAGACTCAGTGAGAAATCACATTAAGTATGTCAGTGATGACTTGAAATAGGTATGTTGCTGATTACTTGCAAAATGACAGCTATTGTTTGCCTGATAAACATTTGGTAGCTGTGTGTTTATTTTAGGATGGAATCAAGATGGTCCTTTGACGTGGTTTCATGTCAAATTATAAATCTAAGCAGATTTTAACTCCTGTTTCCTGCAGGACATTTACAAATTAATACAACTCTGCTGTGTGTTGACACAGGCATGCACTTATGCAGGGCTACACCACACCAGCAAATGCCCATTCAATTGCCACAAGAATGAATATTGACACTTGGCTTTCTTCCATGATGTATTCTTTGGAGCATCATCCTGAAACTTGGTTGTTCCATCCCCTCATACTAATTTTAAACCATGACAATCATTTTATGTTATTAGCATCATGGAAGCAGAAAGTAGCATTTAGTGTGGGGCTTTGACAATTATAGAGTTTTATTAACTAGAGTGAAATAACAAACAGGACTTAACCATTTATTCAAATTTTCTTTTTAAATTCAGCATTTTAATTTTGTGTATATCCACCTGACTATATAAAAATAAATGTAGAGGTATACCAGGTCTTTTTAAATAACATTAAAATTCTTCTTCTGCAGAGTGATTTACTAATCCTCCAGTGGTGAATACCATCTCATTATTTTCAGAAAAGAATTCCCAGTACAATCTGTGCAACTCATTCAGTGCCTGAAATTTCAGGAATGTACGATGCACCTTGTATTAACAAAAGCTTGAGTTGCTGTTTTGCTTGGATGTATGGCAAAACCTTTTTAATGCTCAGAGATTGATTTACTTTTTCAAGGATTACTGAATTTGTCCTTTCAAAAATCAAATAATTTTTAAATTTGTAGTTGAAACTGAGCTATTGCTACAAGGTAATTGTCATTATGCACAGTTTTCTACTGCCTTTTTAGCATATCTCTTGAGGTTAGACTGTGTATGCAAGGAGACCCTAGATACAAACATGCTCAGTGTGAAACTATTCTGCCCATGCAAGGCCCCTCTATCAATGCTTTTGATTCAGTCTTTCTCTTCTGTTTTCTGACCAGAACTGAGTTTTATAATTTGTATGGGTCATTAATAGTTATATTCCATCTCACTTGAATTTTTAAACTCCTTAGAAAACTTATTTAACAAAATTCTTTCGTGCTACTTTTCTCCTAAGTCTGCCCCTTTGACATCCCACCAGCACTTTATGGTAGCACACGGTCGCTGGTTGTGCCTGCAAAAGCCTTCTCCAGACTCCTACTTCCTCAGGTCTTTCCTACGTTTGATATCACCTGTTTCTTCTGAAAAATCTTGTTCTCCTTGTACTTTCACAATGACACCTTCCTGAACTTTATCTTCTGATTTTATGGCCTCTTTCTTCTTGTGCATTGTGTATTTACTTTTGCAAATCTCAGGAGCCAATGCTGTCTGATTTTCTGCAGACATTTTCTTATCAATTTTATCTCATCTGTTCACACAATTTCAGTTGGTCCTTTGTGCCAATGTGCCTTGCAAAAGTCCACTTTTTTACCTTATTTTCCTTTACCCAGCCCAAATGTCAGATGTCGTCTGTGACCTTTTCTTTTGAATGTGTCATTCTAAATACAAATTTAACAGGGTTTTTCCCTGCTTTTCTTCTCTCTATAAAAGTTTGCAGTGAAAAGAGCCCTATCAGCCAATGGGAGAAGCAGACTTTGTTCTAAGACTTTCACATAAGAAAAATGGTAAAACACATGCCTGAGAAGTTTGACAGTCTTTAGGAAGTTCTGTGAAAGTCAGCAACTTTCACACTTCTTTAGTTTGGTTTGGGTTTGGTTTTTAAGTCAATGGACAATATCCTTAAAGCTTCAGTTTTTCAGTATTGCTAATTTGCCTTCAACAATACATGTTTGCCCTACCTGTAAGTTTACTGTAAAAATATTCTCTTCTTTCCAGCTGCTTAATAACATCTGTAATCATTTTGCTGTTGTGAAAAGCAGTCGCCACCTTTTCTTCCTAAAACTGTGCACTTTAAGCAAATTGATTGCTTTTCAATATACAGGAAAAGGTTTGTTTGCTTGTTTCGGGTTTTTTTTAATAAACTGATTCTTAAGTGGATTTATGGGAGTTTTATTTCAGCATCCTAACTTACAATGAGCTACTTTTTGGTAAACTGGTTCAAAATTCCATTGTCCTTTCGGAGGAAAAGTGATTAAATTGATAATTCTATTCTCCAAATCTGTACTCTAGTGAGGCATAGCTGGGTCAGTGCTCCTTCATTTCTGCATATGGCACTAGAACATATGCAGGAATTTAGTGGGCATACAGGAATCCAGGTAGGAAAATAAGAAATTAAATTATTCTGTGACCATTTTTAGATCTCTAGTTTGTGTGCTAATATAGAATAATTTAGATTACTTACATGTAGGGGCTCTACTGCTATAGTCACTGCTAAAATTCCTCTGATTAATTTGACTCATTTCACAAATCTATTGGTAATCTATTTGCGTTTGGTTTTGTTCTTTTTTTTTTATTATTGTGAAAATTTTGAACTCTTTGTTTGAAAGCAATTATTTTAGGACAGATTTTCTCAACTTTATTCCAGAATCATTATAATAATGTGTGCAGCATATAGTAACCACAGACTCACACAATATTTGAGGCGAGAATCTCTGGAGATTCCAATGTCCCCTTCTCAAAGCAGGGTCAGATTGAATGAATTGCCCAGGAACACATGCAGATATGTGCTCAATAGCATGAAGGATGGAAACTCCACGACTTATCTGGGAAGTTCCAGTTCCAGTGCTTGACTCTTCACAAAGCAAAACAAAGCAAAACAAAGCAAAAACAAAGGTTTTTCTTAAACAGAATTTCATGTTTTATGTTGGTCTGCGTGTTAGTAAAGATGCCTTCCCTCTCAAAATAATGTGAATTAAAATTTGAACTACACCTTCTGCTACAACAGATTAAGCTAAGATGCATGTTATGGTTCAGCTGTATGGCTTTTTCTGGCTTCTCCGTAATCCTTAGGTCCATATGAATTTCTGAGGAGACAGATTTATTTTGATTATACATCATTTGTTGGAGGGAGGAGTTGTTCTTTTCAGTGTGCCAGAAGTGAAATACCGTGTGCCAAACATTTTACATTCCAGATTTTTTATGTTGAAAATGTCTATTTGGAGTAGCACTGGTCTCTTGTAAGAAATTCTGCAATGTGCACTTTGATTTATTCTGCTTAATTACTGTCTCAGCTACTTCATGATTGCTCAAGCTACTGCAGTGAATATTCAGGAGACAATTTTTCATTTTAAAGCTTCTTATACCTGTTAGGAGGC